ATCAACTCAGGAATGTTGGCTCTATGCGCTCATAGCGGCAAAACACGGTACTACAAAAGCTCTGCCCACAAAAAAATTAGTTCGGTTTCTTTTGGATACCCCATCGTACATAGGGTCAGTGATGTAAAGAAGATGGAAATACATATAGCTGAGCTCTCAGTACCTAATCCTAGTCCTTTTTAGGTTGAAAATGCTAGTAAAAATTTTAAAATGTATAAATTGGCAGGTAGCGATCCAATTCTGGCAGAATTCATTCAAGGAGGAGGTGAAATATTACGTTCTGAGATCCATAAGCCAATTGATTCTACTCGGAATAAGGAAGATTTGCCTGATCAGTGGAAAGAGTCCATTATTGTACCAATTAACAAGAAGGGTGATGAAACTGATGCAGTAATTATTGTGGGATATCACTGCTATCAACTTCATACCAAATTTTATCCAATATCCTTCTTTGACAGTTAAGTCCATATACAGATGAAATTATTGGGGATCATCAGTGTGGGTTTCAATGTAACAGATCAACAACTGATATCTTTTGCATTCATCGGATAATTTTCCTATCCAGAATGATCTAAAACAAGGAGATGCTTTATTGCCACTACTTTTCAACTTTGCTTTAGAATATGCCATTAGGAAGCTCCAGAGAAACCACGATGGACTGAAATTAAATGTGATACAACAGCTGCTTGTCCATGCTGATGACGTGAAAGAGGTGATAACAAAGATACCATAAAGGAAAATACAGAAACTTCAATTGAGGCTAGTAAGAAGGTTGGTCTAGAAGTTATCTCAGAGACAACTAAGTATATGTTGCTGTCTTGTCACCAGAATGCAGGGCAAAATCATGACATAAAGACAGCTGACAGATCCTTTGAAAATGTGGCATAGTTCAAATATATGGGAACCACAGTAACAAATCAAAACTTGATTCAAGAGGAAAGTAAGAGGAGACTGAATCAGGGTAATGCTTGCTACCATTCTAGATCAGAACCTTTTGTCTTCTCATCAGTGCCTAAAACATAAAAATCAAAATAAAAAAAAACTGTAATTTTTCTTGTGGCTCTGTATGGGTGTGGAACTTGGTCTCTAACATTAAGGAGGAACACAGACTGAGGGTGTTTGAGAAGTGGGTGCTGAGGAGAATAATTGGACCAAGGAGAGATGAAGTGACAGGAGATTAGAGGAAAGTGCATAATGAGTAGCTTCATAACTTGTTCTTTTCGCCAAAGATAATTAGACTAATCAAGTCAAGGAGGATGGGATGGGCAGGGCATGTAACACAAATGGGAGAGAATATAAATGCATATAGGATATTACTGGGAAACCTAGAAGGAAAGAGACCACTAGGAAGACCAAGACGTAGGTGGGTGGACAATATTATAACGGTTCTTAGAGATATAGGATGGGGTGGTATGGAGTGGATTGATCTGGCTCAGGACAGGAACCAGTGGAGGGCTCTTTTCAACACAGTAATGAACATTCGGGTTCCATAAAATGCTGGCAAATTCTTGAGTAGCTGCACATTTGGTGAGTTACTTAGGTAGTCAGTTACATTCATATACTGTGTATTGTGTACTATGTGCATTGTTCTGCTTGCAGTTTCCTGCAAAGAAGTTAGGCCCCATGCAAGAACCAATATGCTACTACTTGCTCCTTTCATTTTGGTATCATGTTGGAATTTGTATGCGCTTTCTTAATCATTATAATACAAAAAACTTGCAGATGCTCTTTTGTTACTAAAAATTGCAAGAACTGCTGTGTTTGAAATTTTTAATAATACTTCATTAATCTGAGAAAACTATTATCAATGTACATGTCTATTTAAAGGCAAAAATAACAGTTAATGAATTATATCAGCACCATTTCCTTTAAATTTTGTACTTCTTTCCTGCTGTGATACCTGATTTGCCCCTGACCTGATCATGTCAAAGAAGTGTTGTTACCAGGATCTGTATGTGCATTATGGCTTTATGCTCATGCTTGATGAAGATGGTTTGCAAAAACCACAACGCTTCCTTTACTCCAGAGTATTTATCAATGAATATATGAAGCCATCCAAGCTTAGAGAACACCTGCAGATAGTTCATACTCAGAATGCTATAGAGATAGAAGCTCTACTTAAAACCAAGTAAGCATGTATTTGAAAAAAGAGGCACTCTCCAATCATGGATTTACGCCACAGAAGAAGCCAGTATTCGAGGCAAGATTTCACATGACATAAAAGATTGCCAAAGAAAATCACTGCATAACATTGCAAGAACCTTGGTGAAATCATGTGCCAAGAAAACGGCCATGCTGATGTGTGGTAAAAGGGTAAAGTTGTCCCTCTGCTTAATTAATTCGGCTTCACGTCATAGAGACGTATGGGGGAGTGGAGGTATAGCTCCATTATTCCTCACCTCAAAATCAGATGGAGGTGAGTGGTCAGCTTAATGCCTCAGCTCATTTACCCCCAGGGAAAGAGCCTGTGGTACTCACTGGATGGAATAAGCCCCAGAACCAGTCTGCATGCTGTGGAGAAGAGAAAAATCTGTTGCCCCTGCCAGAAATGAAACCCTGGTCATCCATCCTGTAGCCCATCACTATACTGACTGACCTGTTATGGCTCCTGAGCCGATGTGTGATAAAGAGGCAAAACTAAAAGAATACAGATCCCGTTACTGAACAATTCCTTTCAGGTTCAAATGAAGGACATCAAAAGATCTCCGCAAATAAGTGGTGGAGCAAATACAGCAAAATCTGGCAGGAATAGCTTCACAGTTGGATAAATCAAGCGATGTCTCAAACTGCATTCAACTTCTTAGCTCTGCTTGGTATCTCCACTAGAATGAAATGGCCTAATGCATGCTAAAGACATCTTAACTTCATTAATATATGGATTTATTAATAATAAAAAAATGGAACTTTAGGAAAACTTTTAGCTTATAATTGTCTACTAATAAAATAAAAAGCATGAAAACTGATAATAGGGTGCTTGAAATCTAATTCAGTTTTGTCTCATCTGGTATGGAAGGACCCAATTCCATGAAACTAATTACAAAGGTGAAGGCATTTTTCTAGACTATATTGGTAACATTTTTACTAAATGCTGAGATTTTTTAAGAATATGAATGGATGTTAAGTCCACAGTGAGAAGTCTCACAATTAGTATTCTTCATTTAACATTGCTAAAGGGACTAATTATGAAAAACAATATGAATCATACGGAACAGAATTTGTTTACATTCCACAGGTCCTTCACAGGCCTAAGCAAAGGATGTAGATCGTGTCATACATGTAGCCTGCGTGAAGGAAACAAGAAACACAACAAACTATTAGTTGGTAAATCTCAAAAGAATAGACCATTCATTCAGACACTGTGTAGTCTTGGTGACCACCATCTCCACTTCCAAAACTCCATAGCGTCACAGCACAGACCTCAATCTAAACATTCACTGCCATGAAAACCTGAAAACCAATATAAGAGAATATTTGGAAAATCATGGAATAGCTCATAGGATAATATTCAAAATGTATTTTAGTGAAATTGGTTGCAGTCATGTAAACTGGATGAAACGGGTTCAAAACTTAGTGCAAATGACAGCATTATTTAATATGACAATGAATTTTGGGGTTCCATAAGAATAGAATTACTTGGCCAGCTGAATACCTATCAATTGTCACTGAGTTTAAGTTAACTAAACTCTTTCTTTTGGGGAGGAGGAGGTTGGAAATAAAGTGAGTCTTCCATCTGACAGATTCATACAAGCATTTCTATTCTGCATACTATCTGTGCCTGATAGAGCACCCGTTATTGCAATGCTTACTGCATATGGATAGTTTAAAAGTTCAAAAGGGTGCAAATTATTCAGGTACAAAAATCTACAATCATCTGCCTAAAGAGCTGAAACAATTATCTAATAACCAGAAATCCTTTGAACATTCCCTAAAAAGACGTTTACATGCTAACTCTTTTTATGCATTAAATGAGTATTTTAATTACAAATGTGCATAAATTTGAATGTTTTAACGCCACATTTTAATACAGTTGGTATGGGAGATGTGAGGGGTTGTATTGTGGTTACTTGTGACTTATGTCTGTTAATCAGGATATTATCTTTTTGCCTCATATTGTTGTATGTGTTAGATAGTTAATGTGGGTGATCTTCATTGTGTGGCTTGTGTGACTTTGTGTATGTGTTTGGTGACTATTTCCACATCCTAGGTCTGTTGCCTGTATGGAAGTTTATGGAAAGTGGAGGATGTGTATGTATGTATACGACGAGTCCTGTATCAATGTATTTTGATTTATGGGAAAATGAAATAAAGAAAGCATTTAATTCAGTTAATTTGGGTAATTTGAGTGAAATTGTATTAATTTTTAAGTTTTTATAGTAATGGTCTTTTTAAATTATGTTTAGTAATTATAATTGTAATAAGTTTTTTTTTGGTTCTATTGTCTATGTTAGTTGACTAGTGTGTGTGATTTTGGTTGTGTGACTTATGTAATTTATTATACGTATACATCTATTATCAAAGGGACTATTTCCACACCCTAGGTTTTTTGCCTGTATGGATATATGGAAAATAAAGGAAATGAATGAATGAGTGGTAGCATTACACACTTCACATGGACATCATACTATTTTACATTTTAACAAAAACTGCATAGCTTTCTGTATATCATATATAATTTCCTACAAGGAGTTATGCTAATGTTACCAAAGTGTGAAGAAGTGTCATTATGGGGGGGGGGGTTTGCACAATGTTCACCATATCAGGTTTCATGAAAAAAGGCTATTTACTCAAACATTATTACTGGAGGACAGAATAATACGCCGACAATGCAGACATATTTTTACACAATGATACCCAATGAATCTCACTTTCTTAATAAAATATGGAATGTCTCCAAAACATGACAGACTATCAAATGGATATTATACTAGTGTAAAATTGAGGACAAGATTTTATTGTAAGTACTACATAAAATATAAATTTCATGCAGAAGCTTTAATCATTGAGCTCTCTCCTTTGTGCTTACCTGTGGAATCAGATTATGGAGAACTTTTTTCATTGTGGCTTTGCATCCTTTCCTTAATGGTGGTACTTCAATATAAAACTCATGAGCTAGGTCCCCATCTTCATCAAAGAACATTGAGCTAAAAATGAAATGGAAAATGAAGCAACACATAGATCTTTAATCTTTTTAATTTCAAATGCAGTTTACTTATGAATTCTACTGGCCATAATCATGCAAAATTGGTTGCAGTGAATCAACCAGTATCACTGTATGCAAGCAAATATATTTCTTTTTATTTTGCAAAGACAAACTTGATGACATTATCCAAAGTGGTCAGAAAAAGAGAAATTTTGTAACACTTCTGGTAGACTGATTACTTATTCAGCCTTATCCCTGGTCCCTTCTGCTGGCCATACCATGTTTGTTGGTTTAGAATCATCACAAAAATATTCATCCTCAATCTGTGGCTTCAAACTTTCTTTTCAAGTAACATAAGAAACCAAAAGGTCAAATATGAAGAAAAAATCACATGTTACAGAAAATTCACAGCCTTAAACATGTCCTTCATGTTTGAAAACATCTCTGCAAAACATGATGAATTCAGCTGAAATTTACGAAATTATCTCCTTATCTCATTTTGATCAGCTTCAGAATGTGAGGCATGTTCCTGCACACTTTTCATTTTATATTACAACACAAATAAAAGTCACAAACACTAAGATTCAGCACTCTTGGAGGCTTCAGTGCTGTGCTGATGATTCTGTCCTCAAATACCTCTTGCAATGCACTCACTGAATTACATGTAACATGCACAGAAGCACTGCCTTGCCAACAGTTACCATACTGTCTCTCATCATCAGACAGCTGTGCAACATATTCCTAATGCACTGGTGTGAGTTCATGTTTTTTTTTTGTAAAACATTGGACCAATGATTTTCCTTGTATTTACAGCACAACATACTCCAATCTTAATGTCACGTAAAGGGATGTAGTGCACAAGGGCATTTTGGTCAAATTTGTGTGTTCTGAGAATTAAAAATCAAAAAACCATTTAGGTGGCAATATGTTTCATCCCCCTCATTGGTGTCTCCACCTTATCGTGGTGAGGGGGTTTGAGTATGCCAAGGACCCTGAGAGCTATACCAGCGGTAGCGTAGCTACTGGCAGGGCCTCCCTTGCTGGACAGGTCAAAGGGTAGGCATCAGACGAAGAGAGACACCAAAAACCAAAAACTGATGCCGGAAGCAGCGTCATCAGCAGCGACTTGAAGCACAGAACAAATGATGCTCGAGATGGTTCAAGTTCGTATAGCAACAGGCGTGACCAGAGTGGTTTGAACGGCTGCTGTACTGCGATGTGGAAAGCAAATGGAAAAACTACCACATTATCACTTTTCCTGGATAGTCTCTTTCCAAAAACAGAAGATCACATTAAGTGGAGGAACTGTTTTGGAAGAGACTGTGGACCTGTCATCTGACAGTTACTGATCAATCAATCAATCAATGTTTCATCAGTTATGAGCAGCAGCTGTGGATCTGTGAGTCCAATGTTCACGTTTTTCAGCATTTAATTAAAAAACAACACCTGTTGGGGAACATCTACATGTTTAAGCTCAGTTACTATTCTCACTCTATACAAATGTAAAGGTAAAGCTGTCCCTGCAACAGGCCATGGAGGCCCATTGGGTTGTAAGGCATTGAGGGTCCCACATTAACTAGACAATCAGCTCACAAATGGTGGTAAGGTTGTCAGCCTTACGTGCTGGCTGTTCTTTACCCCCAAGGAAGATTCCTGGTACTTATTTCTGAACTACCCCTTGGTCATCCAGCCCATAGCCGGTTGCTATACCAACTAAGCTAACAGGGTTACTGCTAATAAATCTTTATTTGCACTCCATGTAAGTTCTCTTTTGTATGTACATCTCAACAGTAATAGTTCCCTGATGAATTATGTAGGTCACTGGTTAAACAGAAAACGATAAAATATTGAACTCATAACATAAGTAACTTTGATCTAATCTCTTCCAGAACTTACTGAGTAAAGCTAGTGGAAGGGATCAAGAAGGCCAAATAAGAAGGCAGCCTACCTGAAGTGTTGCAAAGTTTCCTCTTATTCCAAATGCACCTTACATAACTGCATATATTTATACATAATTAAGATTATGATCTTCTGGGAGATGTCTCCAAAATGTTGGTACCTATCTACCAAACTTCACAATATCACATCCAGGAGACCATGATCTCAATTATCACTTCTGCGATAATCTCAAAATTCATAACATACATAACTGATCTCAATGTTACATAATACAGCAGATTTTGCAAACCTTGCTTCTCCTGTGGGTAACATCCTGTGATGACACCTTACAATCTAGTGTACTCAAGTATTTTAGTGGAAACATTCTAGCGTAAGTTACAAGAGGCAGGCTGCATCTTCAAAAGCCTCTTCTACTGGACATTTTGGTCATATAACTAACTTAAGTGGATGCGGATTTTCACAGCGGGGAAAGAAAAACTATTCCATATACAATTATGATTCACAACAATCAAGAAATTGTAGTTCAGTTATGACTACAACTGGTACTGAATGCCATGTTTTACACATTTTCAGCAATTTTCCACAATTAAAAAGCTGTAGGGCAAGTATGTGGAAGATTCACTTAGTGAGGGTGGAGTCCTACTGGGTCCACTCGTCACGGCGGCCACTGATTGGCCTACTGTTGTTGTTGTTATTATTATTATTATTAT